TTTTATATAACGAGAGGGGAATAGAACTATGTACTCATATCTATATGTTAAGAATTAAGATTGCAGATGGGCATTGGGCCTCCACTCAAGTACTCCCTTAACACAAGAACACTTTGTTCTAATAATCCAGTATTATGTCATGCTCACCTTCCCTACACAATCACTGAAGACAAAATGGGTGCATAAGCAAAAATGTGGTGAAGAAAGCTGAAGGTGTCTGGCTATCAAAAGATTTATCATCAGCGGTCTTAATGGCTTGAAGATAAACAAGCGCCCATCTAGCTCAGAAGCAACAAAGCCCACATGGAAGAAGCACACCAGCCTGAGTGATCATGAGCTGTCATGGGATTGGATATCAGGTATCTAAAACAGAACAAAATCATACCCAATGTGAATAGGGGAGGGGATATGGAGTGGAAAATCAATGTCCATCTGCAGACAATTGGACATCCTCTCACAGAAGGGTCACAGGGAAGAGATGAGCCAGTCAGGGTGCAGTATAGCACCGATGAAACACACAACTTTCCTCTAGTTCTTTGGTGCTTCCTCCTTACCCCCATCATGAGCTCAATTCTACCTTACAAATTGGATTAAACCAGAACATGCACACTGCTACAGATAAGAGTCAGCAATGCTGGGAATCCAGGAGAGATAAACCATTCAGGGCCAACAATGAGAGTAGAGATACCAAGAGGATTAGGGGAGGGTGGGGGGAGAAAGTGGGAATCGATCACAAGGCTCAACATATAACCCCCTCCCAGGGGGATGAACATGGAAAAGTGAGTGAGGGGCCATGGAAGACGATGTAAGATATGGAAATAATAATCTATAACTTTTCAAGGGCTTGTGAGGGAGGGCAGGTGGGGGAGGAAATGGGGAGCTGATTATCAGGGGCTCAAGTGGGAAGAGAATACTTTAAAAATGATGATGGGTAGCATATGTGCAAATGTGACTGACACAATGGATGAATGTATGGATTGTGATAAGAGATGTAAGAGCCCCCAGTAAAAGTATTTAATTAAAAAAAATTTTTTTTAAGATTATTTGCTTTTCTTGTCTTTGTGACTTACCTTCATTTCCTGATCGACTGACAAGGGACTTGACATCTAGTGAATCTTTTCTCTTGTCTTTAATAAGGTTGCTTGTCTGCATATCTGCGGGTACATTTCAATTAGATATAATTTCTCCAATGAATTAAACATTAGCAAAAGTTACTAATCTAAAATTACCAAAATAAGAATACACCACCACTTAAGATGCCACACACACACACAAAATCCAGCGTACAGAGATCAATATGAACTATTGGGTTTTGAGGGGTTGGCTCTCTCAAAAGGTTTCACCAAGTACAGTCATAAGAGCTTTATAATTTCCAAGTATATAATTATGGAGAATTAAATGCAGAATAAAACTCGGGAAAATTTCCCTATTACATTTCTATATAATTTTGTAAAATGGTGGGCTATTTTTTAATCCTTATATTCTCTAAAAAATAAGCTTCAGGACATTCCAGGGGAAGAATATTCCTTCTTTTTTTTTCCCCTAAAAAGAACACTGGTTTGGGGTATATTTCCAAAGTTTATCTTCTCTCCAAACATGCATCCCCCCCTATTTTGTAAATGGTACCACTATTCTTCTAGGCTTCAACAGAAGTCTATCTTTCATTCTCTCATACTCTCATCACCTTGAGAAGTGAAGTTGGTCCTCCTCCTTGTTCTCCCCTCCTCTTACCTATGGGTGCAATGCATAGTGCGGGATGCTTTCCTGGGCATCCAGGAAACTTGAGATAGGGATCCCTATTTCACAGATGAGGAAACTGGGCGCCACCATACAGTGAATGGCAAGGCTGCATTAAGGTCTTCCTGCACACGTGTTGAATTTCCTGCTATATGTCTGCTTTCTCATCTGGGGCCCTTTTTTCTCCTGCTCACAAAGAGGATCTGAATGCAGGCCCTTAGTGTAGTCCCTTTCCCACCATCAAAAAGGTTCTTCACTTGCTATATACTTCTTGACCCCACAGTGCGTTTCCTTCTACGTAGGCAATGGCAGTGGATTTGACAAGGTCACGGATGACTTTTTATTGTGAAATCCAATGCCACAGTTCAGTTCTTTTCTAATATAACTTGATTGTGGTAGGAGACACATCTGATCACACTTCCTGGAAACTCCTGGCTTCCATGAGTCCACTCTCCTGGTTTTCCTTCCGCCTTGCTTGCTGTTCCTTCTGGTTTCTATCATGAGTTCCTCTTCACTAGCCACCTCCACGTTCCCAAATGTCCCATCACTAGCTCTTCTTAGTCAACATTACCTCAAGGGGCTCACATCCGCCTATTGCTTTAATTAATTCCTGTGAAGAAGTCTCGTCCCAGCTCACCCTCCCAAGTGCAACTTATCACTTACATTTGAACAACCAACAGGTATTTTACATGAACTGATTATCTCAATCCAACTTGTTGTTTTCTCCCAAATCTGCTTTTTATCCCGGGTGATTGAACCCACGTTAAAGTAAGTCTCTCATGATTCTTCTTAATTCAGCCCTCCTCTCCTTCCACCCATCATCTCTAAATCAATGATTCTATGTCTCATTGTATTCTTTAGGAAATCTTCAAACTCCTTGGGGGGAAAAGGATGAAGTCCTAAACTATGGCTCTCCTCTTTAGCTGTCGTTAACTATTATGATACTCCAGTTCGCCTATGAAAAAATTCTGGCGGCACAAGCTATGTGCTTGATTGCAAACTATATTTTAGTAGTTTGAGTCCACAGGAAAATTATGCAACAATGTGCTTCTATGATTACAGCCTTGAAACCCCCAGGGGAAGTTCTACTGTCACAATGGTTGTTGTGAATCAAAATCTACCTGATAGCACCTAACAGTTTGCCTCCCAATGCTCCATACCTTGGGACAGAGTGCCTACTCCACTTGGGACCTTCTTTACCTAAGTTAACTCTTTGCCCTCTTTGAAGATGCAGTTCAGGTAATAATACTTTTTGGTAAACCTTCCCTTCCCTTCCCTTACTACCTCCCCACACCATCCAAACATGGTTGTCTGTCTTCTTTGCCAGACCTGGAATTACGGATGTGTTTTCTTTTTGCTATTTTTTCTCTTTTTATGCAATATTTTGTTTTGTATCTGTTACTGTTGGTTTACCTACCTATATAAGATAGGCATGGGAAGCAAGCCTGAGGAAAAAGCAATGGGAACTACAGTTTCAGAGGGACTTGGGGAGAGGAGCCGGTGGGGGAAGGGAGCGGTGAACAAGCAACGCCATAGACAGGGGAACAACTAGGGAATGAAAAGCAACAATGAAGAGGACAGGCTCCTGGGGGTGTTGGAGCAATAGCAGTTTAGCTGAGAAGAATTACTAAGAGGCAGAGAAGGGCAAGCATGATGAGGGAGGCAGGAGGAAGGTAAAAGGAAACAGAGAAAAGATCTAGAAAGCAAAGCTATGGATAGAGGTATAAACATAGACATGTACATATTTAAATATATTAATTCATAAAAGTAGAGGTATTGGCCTATGTAGTACAATTACTTATATGACAATACACTGAGGTAGTATGAGTAGGCCAGAAGACTTTGGGCTGCTGCTCAAGCCTTCCCTCAATGCAAAAACACTGTTCTCACAACCTGGCATTCTGTGATGCTCACCCTCCCGGCACAATCATTGAAGGCAAAGCGGGTGCATAAGCAAATGTGGTGAAGAAAGCTGATGGTGCCCTGCTATCAAAAGATATAGCATCTGGGGACTTAAAAGCTTGAAGTTAAATAAGCAGCCATCTAGCACAGAAGCAACAAAGCCCACATGGAAGAAGCACACCAGCCTGTGCAATCATGAGGTGCTGACAGGATTGGGTAACAGGCATCAGAAAACCCAAAACAAACAAACTGATGAGAACAAATATTGTTGAGAATGAGGGGGGCAGAGCAGAGACCAAAACCCATCTGTAGACAATGGGACATCCCCTCACAGAAGGGTTACAAGGAAGGGATGAATCAACCAGGGAGCAGCATAGCACTGATGTAACACACAATATTCCTCTGGTTCCTTGGGGGTTCGTCACTGCCCGCTATTATGACTCCAGTCCTGCCTTTCACTGCAGGCTGACCATAGCATGTGCACATGTCCAGATAAGAGGTAAGAGCTCATGACACACGGAATCCAGAAATAGGAATGGGAGAAGCAATACCAGGAGCATAGGGGGAAGGTGGGGAAAGGAGGTGAGGAAGGGGAAACCAACTGCAATGATCAACATATACCCCTCCCCCCTACATACCCCGAGGGGACGAACAACAGAAACCATAGGGCAAGGGAGACAGTGGCTGGTGTATGATATGAAAATAATAATTTGTAATTTATCAAGGAGGGGAGGGAGGGAAAAAAGAGGAGCTGACACCTAGGACTCAAATAGAAAGTAAATGTTTAGAAAATGATCATGGCTACAATACTTTGCAAGCTCACAATAAGAGAAAAACTAATTGCCCACTGAGGAGGTGGGCAAAGGACCTGAACAGAAGTTTCACACAGTCTGAAATCCGAATGGCCAATAAACATATGAGAAAATGTTTCAGATCATTAGCCATAAGAGAAATGCAAACAAAAAAACTATGAGATACCACTTAATACCCTCAAAGATAGCCCAATTCAAAAAATCAGAAAGCAATAAGTGTTGGAGGGGCTGTGGTGAGATAGGAACTCTCATCCACTGCTGGTGGACCTGTAGGTATGTACAGCCACTATGGAAATCGATTTGTTGATTTCTCAAACAAATGGAAATTGAGTTACCATACGCCCAGCAATCCCCATACTGGGCATATACCCAGAAGAGGCAAGAAACAAACCACGGCCAGACATCTGTGCTCCAATGTTCATTGCGACACAGTTCACAATCGCAAGGAGTTGGAAACAACCCAAATTTCCATCAAGAGACGAATGGATTAAAAACTGTGGCATATACATACAATGGAGTACTATGCGTCGCTAAAACACAGTGATGAACACATGAAGCATATCGCCGCATGGTAAGAACTGGAGGAAATTATGCTAAGTAAAGTAAACCAAGCACAAAAGGACAAGTATAACATGAGTCCGCTGAGGTAAGTTTATATATATACAAAAATAAAGAACAGAAAGGTAAATGCAAAAGGGGCACAGGGAAAAAGCTATTGTATACAAACAATCCAGGGGTGAGGTCCAGGTAGTATGGCAGGGGCCAGAACAAATCCAGGGGTACATATGGTAGCCAGCTAAAAAGGGGGTGGGGGGAGGAAAGGGGAAAGAAAAAAGATGTGTGATGGGGGAATAGGGCACTGACCCACCCAAGGGGAGGGTATTGTTTGTGTCTCCACAGGGAAAGAGGGACCAGAT